AAGAAAGAAAGAAAGAAAGAAAGAAAGAAAGAAAGAAAGAAAGAAAGAAAGAAAGAAAGAAAGAAAGAAAGAAAGAAAGAAAAAAGAAAAGAAAGCAAGCTCATAGGCCTAGGAGAACAAAAGCATAAGGGTCCGGAGGGTCCCTCCTCAGAAAGCAGAAGGGACTACTGCAGAGAAGGATGCTGAGCTGCTAACCCGGGAGGTGACATGGACTGCCTGCTGTCACCAGTGCTGCGTGGCTTTTCAGTGAGTCACCTGCTCTTGGGGTATCCCTGCTCCCGTAAGTGACTCCTCCTCAGCCATCCTCCCGTGTGTAACCCCAGTGAAAGCTCAGTGGCTCAGCAACATGCACTCGAACCTTAGCCTGTCGTGGGCTCCCATTCTGGGATGAATAGGTGCATGTGTGTGTGTTTCAACTCCCCAGGAAAAACCTAACACACGACACACACACATGAGCGCATGCACATATGGGGGGGAGTGCACACACTCACACTCGCACGCACACAAACACACATGCACACGGCTAAGGAGAAGCAGATGCCCCGTCAGCTGTGTCGTGTGACTTCCTTTCCTGAGTGATGGCCAGACCTCTAACCCAGCCCAAAGCCACCAGGCCGCAGGAAGGTCGCAAAGCCCTTCCCCATAAAAGAAAAAGGCTGACACCAGCTTTAGAAACGAGGAAAGTTTTAAATACGTTAGCGAAATATTAACATTAAATATGCATTATAAATAAGCCTTATAAATAAAAAAAACTAATTAAAAACTGATATAAAAATGAAACAATAAATTAGTGATGTCCTTCCAAGCTCACCAGGACCTGTTCAGCGTGTGAAAATTCCACAATTCACCACCAGAGGGCGCACAAAGCAGCGGGGACCCAAGATGGGGCTTACAGGCACTGCTTTCTTTTCTTTTTCTTTTTTCTCTCCCAGATCTCCATTCAACCCACCCACGACCGTTTGCAGCATATGTTCCCATTATACAGAGACTTTGATGTCCACCTTACGTCGCAGAGCCCAGCAGCTGACAGGAGGAGGGGGCTTGCATACGGACCCCCCACACACACACTGCACGGCTTTCATCCGTGTGTGTGTGTGTGTGTGTGTGTGTGTGTGTGTGTGTGTGTGTGTATAAAGTGCCTTGCTCAGTCGCACAGAGAATCAGGAAACTAGCTAGTCTTTGAGCTCTCTTCCCTTGAACCCCCAGATCAGTGCTCCTTCCAGGACACCGGGCCCCCTGTCACAACTGCCAGGAGTGAGGTCACCCAGATGTCCAGGTGTCTGGCCTGAGTGGGAGGAGGCCTGTGAGGGAGAGGGAGAGCACCGGACCTGACCTCCCCTTTGGAGCCCAGCCGCGGGGAAAGGAGGAAGTCTGGAGGCAATAGCTTCAAGTCATGAGAGGAGAGGACCAGCAGCCTGAGGGGGTCAGCCCGGCGGTGAGTCAGCTTGTGTCATCAGACCCCTGAATCAATGGAAAGCCGCTGGCCCCACGTGGCCTGACCCAGCCACCCCACTAGGCCTGGAGTGGGGGCGCCACAACCTGACTCTCCCCTCCCCAGGCCGGAGTGGTAGAAGGGGGGACCCGATCCACCCCTTAAAGTGCTTTTCTGCGCAGCCCTGAACACCGGAGTCGGTCTGAAAGCCTCTGAGGGGCTCCATCCTGCATCCACAGACGACGCTGTACCCATCAGCGCGTCCTCAGGCTACCGGGGCACCTGGACCCTGGGCGCGGGGCTCCGGCTGCTCGCGGAGGGTCTGTTTCTGCGGGCTCCCTTGCGCCGGGCCCGGAGGGGGCTGTGTCTCCGGCTGCGGCTGGAGCCGTCCCCCCACTCCCTCAAGACCCTCCCCACGGAGCCCATGAAGCGATGGTAACCCCACAGGAAGCGGCAGCTGTCTATCTTGGCCTGAAAGATGCTCGGTGTTGTGGTCGTGGGCCTTGAGGGCCGTGTGGGCTCCGCCTGCGTGGGCTCCGGTGTCTCCAGGGGGTGGTGGAGCAGCCGAGCCAGGCAGTAGACATTGTTCCTGATGCCTTGGGTGTTCTGCCTGGCCCTCTCCAGCTCTGGGAAATCCTGAGTCTTCACAAACTGCTGTCTTAGCGTCCCCAGTTGGTGCCGGACTCTGCCCAGCGTGACATACACAGTGCTCAGGAAGTGAGGCTTGCTCAGCGCCCGCAGAGCGTCCTCGCTCGGGAAGGCTGCAGGCTGCCTGTGGCAGCCTTCTCTCAGGGTAGATGGGTTCAGGTTTTGGAGGCGGACCTGAGGAGGGAAGAGAGAGGGGAGTGCGTGGCAGAACCTCCCAAACACACACACAGGAACCTGCCCTTGCTGCCAAGGGAAGAAAAAGTAAGAGCCTGGCATCAGCAGAGCTGGGCAGGGGCCTGCCAGGGCCCTGGGGTGTCATCAGCTGCAGGTGAGGAGTAGGGGTCCCTAGGTGTGGTCTGGGCTGCAGAAGCTCGGAGCAGGTTCACTCCCCGCAGCCTCTGGGGACCTAGAACAAAGTGCCAAACCTTCCAGACAGTCCAGGAATGGAGCTGGGAGCCAGGCAGCTCCGAGGTCCCTGAGTAACTCCGCCTGCCTACTGACTGGCCCTCTCCCAGTAGTCCCCGGGATTCTGAGGGCTGAGGCTTACATAGGGCTCCAGGAGTGATCTCGTGTCCCCAGTGATGTTCGCCTGACTCTGCAGCTGGCTGAGGAGCTGCTGGGAAGAGTTGGAGCAGCCGCGCGTGGCCCTGGCCATGCTCAGGAACAGGACACTGAGGGCAAAACCTGGGGCAGAGAAGGTGGAAGTTACCAGACCTGTGGGAGGTTCGGCCCTTCGTGCCGGTGCCCAGCCCAGATCAGGTGCTGGGAGGGCAGTAGGCCACTGGGTTTGCACGGGGCGGGGGGGGGGGGGCCCAGTGAGTCACCACACAGACCAAGCAAGGTGTGAGGGATGGTGGTGGCCACAATTCCCAAACGGCTCTTCGGGCAGAGGTTGGGCTGGTGTTAGCCCACAGCATCCCTGTCCTGACCTCACGGCACACGGAGCAGGCGGCATGAGTCCTCTGTGGGATATTGGGCCTCAAGATATTGTCCCAAGACCGCCCCACTCCCTGACTCCGGTATAGACTCCGGTATAGGTATAGAATGGAGTGGCCCCGGGGACAGGCCTCGGGGGCAGCCCTAGGGCAGCAGGCCACCCCAGCTCTATTCACAGAGCCAGGAAAGGCACCTCTCCACCCACGGGGTCAGCCAGTGCTGACACCCATTCTACTGAAAGTCCTGCCCAGGTCACACGTGCCCGGCACTTGCCTTGACCTTCCTACTCCTCGGTCAAGAACCCCACCCCCACCCCACTGGAGCACACACACACACACACACACACACACACACACACACACACACTCCAGAGATACTGGGAGCCCGTGAGAAGGTTGTGGGGGTTAGGGCAGACTAGCATGGTTCCAGCTCCTGGCCCCCACCCTCACAGACACCGGCAAGCCACGTGGTCGGAAGGGGCCCGTGGTGCAATGGCCCGGAAGGCTGTGACACCATCCTTCCCTTCTTACAAACCGCCCAGCCCCTCGGGGAGGGCCAGGAGCCCAGGCGTGCCAACCACAAGTCCCCTCTCCGTCTTCTCCAGGTGTCTGTAGCTAACAGTGCCAGGGAGGGCCCACAGTGAGCGTGTAACAGGAGCACGCGCGCCAGTGGCCATAGGGGTGTACCCGTAGGCCCGTGTGAGGCACTGGGGTGCCTGCCCTGCTCACTGGCAGTTCTGGTCCGCAGGTAAGCCTTCCCATGTCACCGAGAGGGAGGACCCTCGCCCACATTGATGGCTCTGTTTGCCAGTCCCCGTGTGGGTGTGGCTGTCTGTGCAGCGTGAGCCAGGGCCCTCTGGCTTGGCTGACTTTCCATCTACCCCAGACCCTGAGAATTGAATCAGGGCCCCATCTCGGCATTGCCTCACTTCCTCACAGTCCTCCTGCAACTTCCTTTTCTCTTCATCTCCCACCTGCCTGCTGCTTCTCCAGCTTCCTCCCTCTCTCTCCTCTTCCCTCATGCCATGGTCCCCAGCGTGGGCTCTGTCTCACCTCCCTCTGGAAGCCTTCCAGAAATACCACATCTCCACCTGTAGGTATGCTGGGGTCTCAGTGGACCCCTGACCTCCTAATTCTCCCTCTCATCAGCATCCTTCACCTGGTGACAGACCTGCAGCTCCTAAAGGGCAGAGGGTACCCACAGCAGCCAGTTGGCACAGCTGTGGCCTTTGGATGGCAGAGAGGAAGGAAGTACTTACTGAGCAGTGTTCTCTGTGGAAGCTGTGCCTGCATGCTGGGTGCTGGTGACTCGGCCCGTGCCTCTCAGGGGTGACACGGCTTGGCTGGGTGTCCTGCCGGCTGGCAGCCACTTTATGCCCGACGGGGCGATTGGCCAACACCTCGTGAGGTGGGTGGGGAGGGGGTGGGGGGAGGGCAGGCCTTCTGGGAACATGACCCCAAAAACCAAAGTCTCCCCAGGCGGCCAATGGGCGCCAGGCGCCATGACATGCCCGCTCCTCCTCCCCTCCGCCCCGTTTTCTTCGAATTCGTTCTTCGAGGTCAGCCCCACGCCCAAGGATGATGTAAACTGCAGCCTCAGCCTTCTTAGGGTGAGCGGGCAACATGGGGGTCCGTGTCATCTTCAGGGGTCAGCCCAGGGTCAGAGACAGGAGTGCAAGCCAGGCCTCCTGAAGCCCAGACCACCCTTGGCCCAGGAACCACCAACCTCGTAGGACACCCAGGCTCAGGATTAAAGGGAGCCAGACATCTTCCTCGTTGAGTGCCCTTCCCACCCTCTCGCTTGGGCTGTCGGGACATTTGTGAGCGGAAACCACCAGACTCTGGGCACAGAGCCAGACTTAGGCCCCAAGATTGCGCCTCTAATCCCAGGCCAGCATCTTTTAGCCCAACTCCTCATTTCCATTTCCCCCATTAGCTCTCCCCTACCGGCCTTCCCAGTCCCAGGTCCCCTCTCTGTAGATGGGATCCTCTAAGGGAACCTGGATGCTTGGGTCAAGAGAAATGAGAGATGGGGTTTCAAACCCCCTGACATGCCGTGGAGCCTGAGGTGAGTCGCTGAACCACTTTGAACCTCACCTGTGACGTGAAGAGGAGAAAACCATTTCTTGGTTCACCTCACAAGGCCACTGCCAACATGGACATAAAAGGCAAAAGAGCCTTTGGAGGAAAAGAAAAGACGAAACTCCAGTTCCAAGTACTAGTTTTCGGGGGACGGGATGGAGGGGGGCGGAGGAGACGGGGAAGCTGTGAGCTCAGAGGGGAAGCTGGAGGGGGGGGATTGCGGTGACAGTTGGACACCAGGTTTCACTTTCTCTGAAAGATAGCAATCCGTCATGGGTGGGTCCTCTGCTCAGCCCTGGCTAAACATGGTGACTTGTGGGTGGCCCTGGAGAGGGCATCTCCCAGGCGCTCTACTGCTTTACTGTGATAATCTGAGACCCGGGCTGGCCACAGGCCATGCTTAGAAGCCCCAGCAAGTCTACCAACCTAGAATGAGTACCCTTAGTTTGTAACCTCAGGAACCAGAGGAGGCCCTGCCTCTGGTCCTCACGTATTCATTCAACAAACCCCTTCACCACACCGCTCCCCATCCAGGAGGCAGCTCTGTCCGCATCCACCCACTCTCTGCACCCAGCAAGGTGCCCCCCTTGTCAGCAACCCGCTAGTCCTCCTCCTGAGGGCTTCATTTCCTTCTGCTGAGTGTCTCACCTCTGCCCACCCCAAGGTGCTGCTTCCTCGGGCCCCGGCCAGGACTCCTTCTGCATTTCACATCCCTGATGTCATCCTGGGGCAGTCCCCATACCCCTACATCCAAGCCCTGGCAGGGAACTGCCTCATCTCACGGTGAGGAGGAGACACAGGAAAGCTCCCAGCGGCCCGGGGGCCTGGCTGGAGAGTGCTACAGGACCCTCCTTCATCCTAGCTGCTCCTTCCTCCATCCCGGACCAGACACTGTCTCCTCTGTTTAAAACAAAGATACAGCCAAGCAAGGTGGTGCACGCCTGTAATCCCGGCAGAGGCGGACAGAGCTCTGTGAGTTCGAGGCCACCCTGGTCTACAAAGTGAGTCCAGGACAGCCAAGGCTACACAGAGAAACCCTGTCCTAAAAACCAAAAAAGTAATTAATTTTTATTAATAAATAAATGAAACAAAGGTTCAAAGACATGAGGCTGCCCCGCTGGAGGCTACCTGCCCTTTTGAGAGGGCATTCGAAGCTGAATGGGAAGGTCTGCATTTGCCGTTTCAGCTTCTCGGGGTGGGGGGCTGAGATAAGATTGTGGGTCGGAAGGGCAGCCTGAGGTAGACGGGCCCAGCACTTGGGAGCTGGTAACTCACTCGCTGCAAGTTCCAGGTCAGTCAGAGAGACTCTGTCTGCAATAAAGAAAGAGATTCGACTCAGTAAAGTCGAAGGGGCTGCTGCCGTCCACCAAAGCTAGCTGGCTTACACGCTTGACGCCCTGAGGGTGCCCTGCTGCTAGAGAAAAGGTGAGCACGCCTCAGCTGGGGGCCAGAGTGTTATGCTACACAGGCTTCTGTGACCAAGATCTCCAAGGGCAAGACCTGTGTGTGTATTTATTTCCTGGAACTGTCAAAACAACAGACCCTCAAGTGACTGATTTCCAGGGCCCCCCTTCCCAAAGATAACAAACTCTCCAGAAGCCCCGGACCCTTCTGAAAACAGTGTAGCGTGTGTTCCAGACCTCCACGCCGCCTCCTGTAGATGGAAACCTCCCCAGCGCAAGGCAAATGAGTGACACGAAGAGAGCATGTTCTCTGCCCCTCTCTCACGGAGGAGACCATCTCAGCTGGGCTTCTTTTCCTTACACGCTCATCTGAATCCTCTGATGCGGAGGACCCCAAACACAAGTCGGGTCACTGTCCCACAGGCTGTGCGGCCTCAAGAAAGAAATGTGTCCCCGGCCATTGCAGGAGCCACACGTCCGAGTGAAGGGTCTCTGGGGCTGGTCCCTCAGGGTGCCTCTCCTTAGCTGTTCACTTAGGCCGAGTTCTCTGCTGAGCAGCCCAGGCCGGCTCCCAGCTCACCCTGCATTCCAGCTTGGCTTTAGGGCCTCAGTCCCCTCGCCTTGGCCTTCCTAGTGTTGGGATTATTGGAGTGTGCCGCCCACATTGCTGATCTTGGCTTGTAGGTGGCCAATTTTCACTGTGTCCTTTCACTGTGTCCTTCCACTGTCTACGTTTTTCATTTCCTGACCTCTTTGTTTTTCTTTTTCTTTTTTTTTTTTTTTTGTTTGTTTGTTTTGCTTTTCAAGATGGGATTTCTCTGTGTAGCCTTGGCTGTCCTGGAACTCGGCTCTGTAGACCAGACTGGCCTCGAACTCAGAAAGATCCACCTGCCTCTGCCTCCCCGAGTGCTGGGATCAAAGGTGTGTGCCCACCGCCAGTTATCCTGAACTCTTTGTATGTGGTACATGCATGATGCTTACATAAGAGTAGGTGTCTTACTCCCCACCTTTTTGTATAGGGTGTGTGTGTGTGTGTGTGTGTGTGTGTGTGTGTGTGTGATAGATGGATATGTGTGTGCTGGTATGTGTGTGGTGTATGTGGATATATGATGAGTTTGTGTGTTGTGTGGTAAAAATGGATATGTGTGTGTGTATGAAGTGTGTCTGTGTGGTGTGTGCCTATGCGTAGGGTGTATGTGATGCGTGTGTATATGGTTTGTGTGTGTATATGTGTGGGGGTGTGGCATGGATATGGGTGTGTATATATAAGGTACGTGGGTGTATGTGGCTGTGTGTATAGGATGCGTGTGTATCTGTGTGTGGTGTGTGGTGGTGGTGGAGGTGTTGCGTGGATACGTGTGGATGTGCATGTAAGCCAGAGGAGGACAGCATGCATCCTGCTCTGTCACTCTGTCTCATTGCCTTGGTATGGACTCTCACTGAATCTGGCTCTCAGCTGCTAGCCTCAGGCACTTCCCGCTCTGCTGCTTACTCAGAGCTGGGGCTGAGGGCCGGCGTGAGCACGCCTGACTTTCCTCATGGGCTCAGGGTATTTGAACTTAGGCCCTCATATGTGCACAGCAAGCTTGTTACTGACGGAGCCATCTCCCCAGCCCGTAGTTCCTTTTCTAATCCAGCTGCACCAAATCAGAGCCCACCCAAGGACCTTTTGTTGTTGTTTACCCCCTTAAAGGCCCCATTTCTAAATACACCTGAGATACTGTATGTTCAGACTCAGAGACCAGGCCCCAGCCCGGAACAGATTGCAGTAGGAGTCAGGTTTGGAGGGTGGGGGCCTGAGCGGAGGGTCCAGACCTTGGGGCTATCCATAGGGGCAGTGGGAGTGGCCGGAGGCCTGCCTCCCTGCCATCCAGGCAAAGCGCAAGGGAAGATGCGTCAGCGATTCTAGTGAGGTCAGTGGACAGTGACGTCCCTGTCGCCAGCAGGAAAGGCTTGCAACAGCCCAGTATAAATAGGATCCTCAACCACAGGCTCGGGCTGTCCCCTCTTCCTGGGCCACGTCAGCCAGGTCCTCGTGATGTGGAGAGGAAGAGAGGGTGGGTTTGCTTCCTCAGAACTGTTATCTCCCAGCCTTTCCGGCCCACCCTCTGGCTGTGAGAGCCCTGCCCCTTTAAATGCATGGATGGGACCTGTCACGGCCTGAGGTGGCACTTCCTGGGTCAGAGGTGGACACTGATTCAAGCTCCAGCCTCCGCTGCACAGGAGCCTGCTGTCTTCCACCAGCCCATCACATCCTCTCTCGGGCCTCATTTTCTCTTCTCTGTAAACTTCAACGGCACAATTAGGCAACAAGAAGAACAAAATGAGCCAATTAAAACGGGCAAAGGGCCAGGTGTGGTGGCACACGCCCGTGATCCCAGCACCTGGGATGTAGAGGCAGGAGAATCAGGAGCTCAAGGTCAGCCGCAGCTCACAGTGAGACCGAGGCAGTCTGTGCTGTGGGAGGTGCTGAGAAAGAGAAGAGGGCAGCTGAGGGAGAGCGGAGAGGGTGAAGCTGGGCAGGGTGTGTTGGGGGCAGCTGCAGCCGCTGGAGCGCTGGCCTGAATTCCGCATGAAGATGCTAGGCATGGGGGCATAGGCCTGTGACTGACCCTGGCACCAGGGAGGTAGAAACTCAGGGTTAGGGTTAGGAGGCAGCCTGATAAGAGACCCTTTCTCAAAGCACGTTGGATGGCATTCCTAAGAATGATACCTGAGGTTGGCTCCAACCTCTACACGCTTGTACTTGTACTCAGTTGAACACACACATACACACACAGAGACACACACTTGACAAAGGATTTGATC